TTTTTTAATCAAATTATTTGGTGAAAAAAATTGAAGAAGGGAAACCTAGAGACAAATGAAGACTAAGAAAAAGCAGTCCTAGGATTCCTGGAACCAGAAGTGGATAGGAAAATTCACAATTAAGAGAAAACCTTTGAATAAAGTGACTGTAAGAAAACCTTTATCTAGTGCACCTTCAAGCGCATGTAAAAATTTACATTGGAGAAAAGTCCTATGCGTGTAGGGAATGTGGGGTAGTCTTTGCTACTTTCTCATGTCCTAACAAACATGGAACAATTAATCCCAGAAAGAAGTATACTACTTGTACAGGGTGTTTGGAAGTCTTTAGCAACTCCCATTTCCTTAATGAAGCAAAAGAACTCAAGAAGCCTATAAATGGAGAGAAGCTTTTTGCATGTAAGGAACATGGGAAAGCATTTCATCTAATCTTCACACCTTATTCAATATATTCAAATGCATACTGGGAGAGACTTCTACAATTGAGGGTTGTGGGAAAGACTTCAAAACATCTTATACCTTATATAACCTATAAGACTTTATAGTGGAGAGAACTCATGTGGAAGTAAGGAAAATAGGAAAGCCTTTAGATAGTACTAATCTTTCACTGAATATGTAAGAACTCACATCGGGGAGGAAAAAGCATATGATGTAATAAATGTGGAGAAGTCTTTAAAAATTTCCATTTTCTCATGTTTACATTAGAAAAAATTCCCATGCAAGTCAAGAACATAGGAAAGACTATATATCTTACACACCTTAACAAACATGAATGAACTCACGGTAGAGGGAAGCAATATATGTCTATATATACATACAAACAAGGATATGTATGTGTGTGTGTGTGTGTACACACACACATATATACACAAACAATACACACACACACACACACACACACACAGATATCCTTGTAAGTAGGAAATATGGACCACCCTTAGTTGTTACTCAACCTTTAGGAAAGAAGTGGGAACCCATGCTGGAGTAAAACTCTGTTAAGAAGTGAAATAACCTTAAATTGTTAATCTTCCTTAGGAAGTAAATAAAAGCCCCAAGAGAAACTACATTAATGTGAACAATGTGGAAAAGTCTTAGATTTTTCCTTATATCTGAAAATTCATGAGAAATTTACAGTGGAATAAAATCTTACAAATGTATGAAATGTGGAAAAATATTTACTTTCTTTTTATTCCTGAAGAAAAATGTGAACATACAACTAAAAAGAAACCTCACAAATGTAAGGAAAGTGGGATAGCCTTCAGTTTTCCCTGGATAGTTGAGGAACATATGAAAATTCACACAAACATTATGAATGAAAGAAATGAGGAAGTAGCTTTCTGTGACTGTGTCCTGTAGAAAACACATGTAAATTCACCCTGCAGAAAAAATGTGAATATAAGGAAAATGAAGAAGACTTCAGTGACTTCTCTTTTTACTCTACACAGAAAAACACATAAATAGAGAGACACTGTGAATTAAAACAAATGCAGGATATGAAGGGATGTGCAGTGGAGGGACACCTATGAACACATGGTATTGAGAGAAACCTTCACTTAGTACATACAAGAATTTCTAGGAATATACTGGCTCCTTCTGCATGCTTCCTTTGGAAGTAATCACACAAGCAATTACCTGAATAGATTACTGAAAATCACAATATGTTTATGAAACAAATATGCAGAATCTCCTTTTGAAAAAACACTTCAGGTATTAGTGTATGTATTTTAAGAAATAAAATTGTCTTCATTTAAAAAATATCTTTTGAATATATATAGAGATTAGAGTTTCAGGTAATTTAAATAAATCTTTACTATACTTAAGTAATATTCTGGTGAAAAAAGGTAAATTCAGAAGGGATATGGCATTTTATAGGTTATCACTTTTATAGATAATGTAATAAACATGATGGTTCATTAAATAATATGCAATATCACAAGAAACATACTAAAGATAATTACAAACAAACTATTACAATAACTACATAGTATGAAAAAAATAAAATGGTATGCCACTGTTAAATCTTTTCCTTCTGAAGAAACTGGTTTTTGGAAATAGTCTTGAAAAAAACTGTATTTGGTCCTTTCAACACAAGATGTATGAGTCCCTTCTCTCTCTCTCTC